AGATAAGTAACCAATTTAGAGGCCCAAGATCTGACTCCAGTTCAGATTGTATGAGTGTTTGCTATCGCCTATTCTCGTATATCATCGTCGACTTAGATTGCGTTATCCAATAACGGAATTAAATAAGTCGAATAACGAGAATTGACTTGACAATACATATATTTCGTACATAAAGCGACTGAAACAGAACCAAGCAAAACGACGCGCGTGGAAGATGGCTGGGAAGCCAACTCCATTTTTAGTCAAGAGTTACTCCATATTTATAGGCAGACAGAATAAAGCTACAGACATGTGATTAATGCGATAAGAAGGGCACACACCTATACGCTCATATAAAAATAATCAAGACTGACAAGCGAATGATTGACAAGGTCAAAATATGGCTCAAGTAAAATGAATTAAATAGAATGTCCACAAGTTAGAATAAGGTAGATGGGCTTGCCATAATAACTGACACTACATAGCCCCCTTGTAGAAAATAGCACATTTAAAAAATGTCTGTTTTCGAAAATAACACTGAAGTGTATGAAGTTAACGTTAGCAACAAGTAGCGAAAAAAATTGTACAACACTCGATAAAGTACAGTAGTGTCACATGAGCGGTGAGTGTATTATATGAAAATGTCATATTTATGTAAAAGAATACATGAATATAGAAAAGGCGCGGACAAAAATGGGAACGTTAACATACGAATATGAGCAATTTAATGAGCGTACAAAAATTAACATGTGCTAATGTTATGATTGTCTGAACGATAAAATAGCACGTTTGTATAAGTGATTCAAAATAGCGTGAAAATAGTAATAAATTGTTCATGGGTATAACAGCGAAATAAATCGTCAAAATGAGTACAGTAGAATATGACAGAAATTGGTCTGTGATGCCGATAGAATAGTGAAATATATTACATATATGTTCTGTTGAGCCGCAGTAAAATAGGTAGCATCGATTAGCGATGAGTGAATTTGAATTTAAATGAGTTCCCGTTCGTAGAATAATAATAATAAGCAAGTCGTGAAATGATAACTGCATTGACGGGTGATATTCGTTGCTGTACTGCAATTGATAATAATCATAAGATGTGAAGTCAGTGAACGTTGTCGTCTGCGTTATGACATGCATTGAGTTATCGTTAAATATGTATTAGTAGAATGACCAGAGGAACAGAATAGTGACTGAGTAGACGAAGTACGTAGAGTCTTATTCCTTTTTGGTCATGAAGCCTAGAGTGGTTTGTGTGGTTTGAGGGAGATGCGCTCGATCTCGTTTATTACAAAACCGTACCAAGGCATGACAAAAATACCAATACATATGATTAGCGATGGCGACGTATGAGACTGACTTGGATGTGAGGAACAAGAGTGTATCTTTGAGAGACTAGCTCTAAACTCTATGTTCTGATATATCGTGCGATGGGTATAGAATAGTAGTTGCAGTACTCGAATAACGTTTTTGGTTGATAAATGATGCGGCGTGCAGTTATGCATGTGAAAGAATAGATAAGATGAACGTAATTGTTTCTAATCAGCTAGTTAGATGCATCCACAGACATAATAGGAGGCGATGAAGAATGTGTGTTATGATAACATAAAATAATGACCTCTACTAAGTGAATGAATGTAATATTAGGTCTAAATGACATGAAAAAAATTGGAACGAACTCACTTAAAGCAGGAAAATTTCATGTTTTGAATAGTAAAAATATTCCAGTGAGTTTTGGATGTCATAAAGTGGAGTGTTCATAAAATGATAGTCTGTTCGGTGAGCAATATGATTGCGAAAATGTCATAATTTAATGACAGCATGAACATGATTATTAATTCCACATTCGGTTATGATATTGAGAATAATGTAATAATAAGCATATAATGATAATTCGAATAGTAATGGAGCAAACCGACGAATGGATCAATGAGAATAGTTGACATGAGGACAAAGTATCGATGAGATAATACGACTTGAGCATGTCCATGTCATGTTGCACAGGCTTTGCTGAGTGCGTCGGATTAGAGATTGAGCTGGACCCGTTGAATGTGTTCGTCGAATGTATCAAGTGCAGAAGTCTCTTCATCGACGTAGCTTGCTGTGTTGCGTTCGTCGTCGGCGGGCTTACCATTTTAGAGGCCCAAGATCTGACTCCAGTTCAGATTGTATGAGTGTTTGCTATCGCCTATTCTCGTATATCATCGTCGACTTAGATCGCGTTATCCAATAACGGAATTAAATAAGTCGAATAACGAGAATTGACTTGACAATACATATATTTCGTACATAAAGCGACTGAAACAGAACCAAGCAAAACGACGCGCGTGGAAGATGGCTGGGAAGCCAACTCCATTTTTAGTCAAGAGTTACTCCATATTTATAGGCAGACAGAATAAAGCTACAGACATGTGATTAATGCGATAAGAAGGGCACACACCTATACGCTCATATAAAAATAATCAAGACTGACAAGCGAATGATTGACAAGGTCAAAATATGGCTCAAGTAAAATGAATTAAATAGAATGTCCACAAGTTAGAATAAGGTAGATGGGCTTGCCATAATAACTGACACTACATAGCCCCCTTGTAGAAAATAGCACATTTAAAAAATGTCTGTTTTCGAAAATAACACTGAAGTGTATGAAGTTAACGTTAGCAACAAGTAGCGAAAAAAATTGTACAACACTCGATAAAGTACAGTAGTGTCACATGAGCGGTGAGTGTATTATATGAAAATGTCATATTTATGTAAAAGAATACATGAATATAGAAAAGGCGCGGACAAAAATGGGAACGTTAACATACGAATATGAGCAATTTAATGAGCGTACAAAAATTAACATGTGCTAATGTTATGATTGTCTGAACGATAAAATAGCACGTTTGTATAAGTGATTCAAAATATCGTGAAAATAGTAATAAATTGTTTGTGGGTATGACAGCGAAATAAATCGTCAAAATGAGTACAGTAGAATATGACAGAAATTGGTCTGTGATGCCGATAGAATAGTGAAATATATTACATATATGTTCTGTTGAGCCGCAGTAAAATAGGTAGCATCGATTAGCGATGAGTGAATTTGAATTTAAATGAGTTCCCGTTCGTAGAATAATAATAATAAGCAAGTCGTGAAATGATAACTGCATTGACGGGTGATATTCGTTGCTGTACTGCAATTGATAATAATCATAAGATGTGAAGTCAGTGAACGTTGTCGTCTGCGTTATGACATGCATTGAGTTATCGTTAAATATGTATTAGTAGAATGACCAGAGGAACAGAATAGTGACTGAGTAGACGAAGTACGTAGAGTCTTATTCCTTTTTGGTCATGAAGCCTAGAGTGGTTTGTGTGGTTTGAGGGAGATGCGCTCGATCTCGTTTATTACAAAACCGTACCAAGGCATGACAAAAATACCAATACATATGATTAGCGATGGCGACGTATGAGACTGACTTGGATGTGAGGAACAAGAGTGTATCTTTGAGAGACTAGCTCTAAACTCTATGTTCTGATATATCGTGCGATGGGTATAGAATAGTAGTTGCAGTACTCGAATAACGTTTTTGGTTGATAAATGATGCGGCGTGCAGTTATGCATGTGAAAGAATAGATAAGATGAACGTAATTGTTTCTAATCAGCTAGTTAGATGCATCCACAGACATAATAGGAGGCGATGAAGAATGTGTGTTATGATAACATAAAATAATGACCTCTACTAAGTGAATGAATGTAATATTAGGTCTAAATGACATGAAAAAAATTGGAACGAACTCACTTAAAGCAGGAAAATTTCATGTTTTGAATAGTAAAAATATTCCAGTGAGTTTTGGATGTCATAAAGTGGAGTGTTCATAAAATGATAGTCTGTTCGGTGAGCAATATGATTGCGAAAATGTCATAATTTAATGACAGCATGAACATGATTATTAATTCCACATTCGGTTATGATATTGAGAATAATGTAATAATAAGCATATAATGATAATTCGAATAGTAATGGAGCAAACCGACGAATGGATCAATGAGAATAGTTGACATGAGGACAAAGTATCGATGAGATAATACGACTTGAGCATGTCCATGTCATGTTGCACAGGCTTTGCTGAGTGCGTCGGATTAGAGATTGAGCTGGACCCGTTGAATGTGTTCGTCGAATGTATCAAGTGCAGAAGTCTCTTCATCGACGTAGCTTGCTGTGTTGCGTTCGTCGTCGGCGGGCTTACCATTTTAGAGGCCCAAGATCTGACTCCAGTTCAGATTGTATGAGTGTTTGCTATCGCCTATTCTCGTATATCATCGTCGACTTAGATCGCGTTATCCAATAACGGAATTAAATAAGTCGAATAACGAGAATTGACTTGACAATACATATATTTCGTACATAAAGCGACTGAAACAGAACCAAGCAAAACGACGCGCGTGGAAGATGGCTGGGAAGCCAACTCCATTTTTAGTCAAGAGTTACTCCATATTTATAGGCAGACAGAATAAAGCTACAGACATGTGATTAATGCGATAAGAAGGGCACACACCTATACGCTCATATAAAAATAATCAAGACTGACAAGCGAATGATTGACAAGGTCAAAATATGGCTCAAGTAAAATGAATTAAATAGAATGTCCACAAGTTAGAATAAGGTAGATGGGCTTGCCATAATAACTGACACTACACCAACAGGCTCTGTTTAGGTGTACGTCAAAACTGACAATGTCATTATGAGGGCTGAATATTTCATGGAATTATTTACCACAACTTCTTCATAGATGGTCTTATATTATCCAAATTATAAGGTGCTTTCATAATGGATAGTAAGGAATTATGCATTATTCTACAGAATAATCCCAGCGTAACTATGAAGCTATTGAGGCATGTGATGAGACCCACTTACACAAAATTGTTCTTCCTAATGATGAATTAACTTTAATCTTTGAAATATATACAGAATATCCAGAATTAACTATTTGTGAACTTCACTTCAAGAAGGTTTGCTGTTTTAATTCTTCGTATTTTGAAGAGCACAGTTGGTTGTCAAGGTCGAGTTAGCAATGACGTATGTTACAAGTTCAGGTTCGTTACATTAATCTTCTCAAAACTGTCAAGGCAGATTAAGACAATTAAATAGAGTTATCAAATAGTCCACTTCTCAAAGTTTTCGTACTTGTCAACTAGGATAATTGTTGTTTAATGGGTTACTTAAAAGTCAGTGACACCTCAAGAGGATTTATATATCCTTCTAAGGGAACTTTTATATACTTCTAAATCAAAAATACCTCAAAATACAACTAAACAAACGGGTACATGTCCTGACATTGCTAACTGTGTTTCTTGCACGTTAAAATACAATATTTGGAGTAAAACCATTAAACATTCAAAGAACAAAATATTTATTGTACTACACTTCAAATAGATAATTAGTGATGATCGACATAATTTCTGGCAACCATTAAGCACTATATTTCCTTCCAACAGCGAAACTAAGAGCTATGAGAACGGCTGTTTGTATCAATCTATATACCTTAGTTTGGCATTCAGTAACTTCATGTAAATACCTCTTTTTTTTTATTACACCGCTCATAAGTTTTCCCAATTTATTAGGTTAGCTAGCAATCAATGTAAAGGTATTTGGGGTCTTTTAAACAGCGTCTCACTGTTTCTACAAATGTATCGTTTAAGAAATAAATGTCTTGATCACCACGAAATCCCACTTAGTTATTAGAGTACGCACAGATCTACTTCAGTCGGTACTAAATAACCTTTTTCTCAGTAAAAAACAGCATATATTCAAGGTTAAATTCATGAGTTTCGAATGAGATTGACCAATTTCAGACCACTATTGAAAACCTGAAATCACTAGACGGCCGTTTCTTCCTACTACGCGACTCCTCGGCAGTGCTCATCCACAGCCGTTCAGTGCTTCCAGGCTTTCAACTGTGGTCTAGCTTGGAATAACTCGTGAATTCGACTTTGAAAATACTACAATCTCCAAGAATCCCCATAATTTACGATAGTGTGTACGTCAAATCGTCTGCTGGTTTCGTACACTTTGAAATATCTTTTAAGGCCTTTTTAGGCTGAGTTAATGTTAGTCTTAGTAATGTGGTTGCACAACTAAGAAGTCTAATAAATGAAATACCCAAGATAGGTCAGAAATGCCTTCATATAAGCATTGGGAGTTATGGCCATAGCGGCTTTGTCGGCCATTTATACTATACCTCTGCATCGAGGTAGCAGATACAGTCACAAATTATTCCATCGGTGGTTAAGAAAAGTTTGTTTCTGTTCAAGGAGTTCCTGTGATGTTTGTGAACAACCTAATTTAGAAATACATCAATGTAGCAGGTCTTCTCGGGGACCTATTTCCTTAGCTCCTGACCTAGATGTTCAATCCTCAAGTCTTTAGAGCAGCGTTAAGAGATGCTGTTGCTCATGAACCAATGTTCAGTAATGCGTTCATACACTGTCCTTTCAAGACCCCGAGGATAGTGCTTGCTGTCGGCTTGGTATTGGGTTTTCTAGCTCCTCTAGGCGGAACCTTGTACCCAATAAACCAGTCTAAGCACCGCATTTCGTGGAGAAAACCAGTGGGTTTTCCTGTTCAGAGATCATAAATGTATTGCTGTATAAGAACATACCGAGAGAAAGCCGTTCTAGAGCACGTAAGAGAGTACACTGGTAATCGGGCTTACGACGGCTTCTGAATAATTTTTACATATTGTATTGCAGTGGATAAGCAACCTTTCATCTCGTTATTAGAACTTGATGAAAAACGCTTCCCCTAAATGCTACCTATTCAAGAACTGACTTGCCTCAAATTTCGGAAGTTAAGCAATAGAAAACTGTTGAGAAGTACTTATCACATTTTGTTGTAGTTTTTTTCAAACTGTCATAAATATGACTATACTCTGTAAATAAGAATACTGAATCAGTTTGATTTTTACCCAATCCACATTGAGGGATGTATTTCTGCTAATTAATGTCTACTTTTCAGTCAGTTATATAGAATTTAAAACCTGCTACATATGTACATCAATTCAAGTTGTTACACCCCATTAGCACACCGAGGTCAAATTGTCAAAACCAATACCAGATTGATATAGATAGTATCATTATTGGTATTGATTTAAAAAATTAGGCATCAGAGATATGGTTCACGAAGAAAATATTTACTGGTGCATAATTATAGTTTTAAACATGATATTTAAAAAATCCAACCCTGTTAATCTTTGCAAAAAATCGTTTTAAAGACAGTAGTTCTTTGTATTTTTAGGTAATATTGTTGGTAGGCAACCATGGGGTATACGTTACTTGAAACAAATACTTCTCAATCTTTTCAACATCATTTGTCTATTGTAAGTCGATATTTTATCATTTATTTACCTACTTTTTCAGTATTCAAACACTCTTACCTTTAGACGTAAGTTCCTACGATTAAAAGTGACAGGCTACTTGTAGCTTTTTCGCCAGAAATCATCTAATCAAAGAAATTCTTGGGATGGAAGGTTAGCCACCCAAGTTCTTGTCAAAAAACTTTTAATGTTATAGACCACCTCGACCACCTGGACGACGTTTTGGTGGATTTGGAGGCTGTGCAGGTAATGATTTGCCTAGCATTTGTATTAGATTTATATTAAACTTCTTAATATCATATTCTATAGCCTTCATTTCAGTCAGTCATCCACAATGTAGGACCAGGTACATATACATCGGTTCAAGTTACCATACCTTATTAGCACAACGCGATGAACACCAAATTAATAGATGCAGTTATTTCAATGGTTGTAATATATAGAAAGAATGCATATTAGGACATACTACACAAAGAAAGAATCAGTTTATAGAAAGAAAGATATAAAGTAATTTTAATCTCACGGTTTAAGGAAAGATAGAGAGTGTATACACCTACATCATTGTGACCGATTCTGAGCCATGTCACCAAGAGTCTCCAACCATTGGTTACGATAGTCGCGCGGACCACAACCAAGTAGTATACATCTACCAACATGGTTCAGACTAAAAGTTAGTGACTTCAATGACTGATGCAACGTTTTGGTTTGGCCGCCCCTAACTTCCAACCGTCTCCGACACAAGCCAACATTTTCGTCGTGGTAATCGGTGTTCAGGCATACATAACATGTGGCCCAACCATCTCAGTCTATAAAGATTTACAACCTCATCAACTGATGTACCATCATCCCCTAATACCCTACGTCTAACCTCACCATTACTTACCCGGTTGTCCCAGCGGACGCGAACAATACTTCTAAAACATCTATGGTCAAGTACTAGTAATTTACGAGTATTGTCTACCCTAGCCCCCAAATGCCCTGGTACGGCCGAGAGTGGGGAGAGTCCGCTCTCCCTCTCGAAATACTCTCACACGGCCACGCGTATATAGCCTCTGCCAGGGAAGTCATACTCACTGCCTTCTCGTGGCGGGGGTGTTGTTTACGAAAATGAGAGGACGAAAAGCGAATGTCCGGCGCTTTAACGGGATTCCAAACCAATGGTGCACACGGGCTCCAGTATCCTGCGGGAACAAATGGCGAATGAGCCAATTGTTGGTCACCGGCTTCCATGGGACTGCATCTCCTTACGATGCTCCACTGCCTTGTGGATCAGACCTTCAGGTCGAAGGCTCGGGGTGTGGCCCCCTAAGAAAACCACCTGCTTCGGTTTGGGCACCCGGGCAGTATCACAGCCCTCACAAATATCGAATGACATTTGTGTGGCGCATATGTATTTCGTGCCTCTTTGTACCATTATCTATGTGTTGAAATAATAATAAATAATAATTGTCTACCCTTAATGACCACGTCTCGTAACTGTAAAGTAGAAAAGAATAAACTGCTGCTTAATATAATTGTTCTTTAATTGATGGTCCTCCTTTGAATATACCATGAATCTTACGCTTCCTTGAACATAAAGTGCGTAACTGTCGAGAAATATAACTATTTGCTAGGGCTGTGGGCATTTTTTCTTACAAAAAGAGTCTGAGATAGTCCTAGTGACTCATTGACAACGCATAGATGAGTAACTTGGGTTGCCTTAGCAAGAAGTACTTGTGAAAGTGCATGTCATTAAATGGTGTTACAAACTCTCACGTTATTATTTAACAAAAATCAGTTATCTTAAGTTCAAACGGAAATGTAGGATGCACAAAACTGTTGTGTTGCTCACAAAATGCACAGTGTAGTTTCTGCTAACTATGTCTATGGTTTAGGTGAAAGGTCATTTGTGATAGTAATATGTTTTCTTGTATATAGTATAGCTGACAAATTACTAAAATACGAGCGGTAAGTACTATTAGCGAAAATCGGTCAGATACTCCGTTTCCACTTTTCTAAAACACCAAGAAGCGACCAGTCAGTACAATGCTGAAAAATATCAATATTAATTCGATAAAAAAGCTCGTCAATTTGGACACTTGACTTTTGATCAGTGAATAGGATAAATCAAAAGCAGTTATGGTAACTTAAGTAAACCTTTTAAACCTATATTCGAGCTACTTGACACGTAGATCTCTCCTTTCATTCGTTGTGTGCATATTTCCTATAGTTCACATAATTCCACTTTTTTGCTCACTTTGTTGATATCCTGTCAATTTATTTATTCGAGCACATAAACATTGGTACAAGGGGCACCATACACATATGCGCCACACAATAACAATGAGACCAGTAGTAGTTATCATTGATTTGTGTGAGGGCTGTGATACTGTCTGGGTGCCCAATATCAGTGTACTAATAAAAAATATGACACCTCAAACTGGAACGTTTTGCGCTAGGCTGTATGTTTTATTTATCACTGATTCAAATTTCACCCTACCTGTGGAAGTATATACAGTTACAGCGAGTGGCTCTCTCACAACACGTAGTTTTTTTACCTACTACATCTGTAAGTGAATGACGTTGTGTTTTTCCTTTGAGGTAGCTTATACTAAATACTGAAATTTAGTAGACTTCTTGGGATTTTCAAGGGTTGTACAGAAGTAAGCTAAATCATTGTTATTAGAACCTGTCGTTTTCTGTTGATTTTTCCAGTACAAAATTGATCAGACTTCATTAGCATTTGAACTTCTTGTAAGTATTCCTCAGTGTTAACTAATCTGGGTTGTATTTGATTGTAGTTATCTGTTGAATCCACTCCAAGCTCGTAGTCTCGACAGTAATGTTTATTTAGTAGATTAAAACATCTGATCGATCCTTACCTGTTAGTTAAGTCATAAACGTAATCAACCATTTAAAGTGTTTTTGTTTATTTTCTTTGCATAGTTAGTGTTTTCCTCCATTTTTCGTTTTAGGTGCTCCAAATGCTCCACCAATGGCTGGTGGAGGATGAGGTTAAACAGTCTTTGGAATTAATAGTAGTCAATTACAAATTCCAAAGACTGTGAATCGAATAATTTGTTGTCAAACCTTTAGATCCTATTTGGGTATATGACGGTTGTCTGGAAAATCTTGTCTGCAGATCTAGACAACTTGATGACCAAATTGGGATTTATATGCTTAAAACATTAGTTTCTTTGTAAAAATCAACCTAATTTTTACTTTTAAAATAAACATCGATTTTTTATTTTCCAGAAAATTTACGTATTTCGTGTTTGCTTTTACGACTGTTGATTCATTACTAGTGCAAAATAATTTCTGATATCAGAGAAACTATTAATTTCTCAACTAACGGATAAATGGCAGTTTACTATTCAAAATGTTTTATTATCCCGAAATAGAGTCTCATTTTCGATTCAGTTGATACACTTTTTTTTACTTAAGCTAGTGAATAAATATACTTGTATGTACCTCTAGTTTCAAATCGATTTAATATCTGTCTCTGACTAGTATATTAGGTGTAATTTTAGTTTATCGATTTTGGAGATCGTTCGGAGGTTGAAGCAATAGATTTTGAATCGGCAGGTCCTATGTTCAACACACTTAATTCCGTTTGGCTATCTGTGTGGTATTTCTAACTCATATGAGTAGATTATACCTCTGAAGCTGTGCTTGGATCCATTCCAAATATTGGGGAAGTGTCGTTTCTTATTTGAAAATATGGGATGGCATTTCATATATCAATGGTTAACATCATGAGTCAGTTGAAGCTAGACCACAATGGAAAACCTGGGAGCGCTAGACGGCCATTTCGTTCTATTGCAGTGTGCATCCACGACCTCGCCCCCTGCGAGATTCGAACACAGGACCTACTGGTTTTGCGCGCGAGCACTTAACCACCACACCACTGAGCTGGACGGCATCTAACGGTGTTGATGTCTAACTTCAACATATGCTCACTAGTGACTGTCTTCAATAGGTATATCCTGGAGTTCTAGTGAGAAGTAGTGACAAGCGGAGTTCATCCAGGTCTGTTGTGAGATAGTAACTCACTGAAGACAATGGTGGATGTGTCGCTCAATTTCGTAGTTAGTTGAAGTTAGACATTAACACCGTTTGATACTGACTCAATGGTCTAGTGGTTAAGCGCTCGCGCGCGTGATTGATAGGTCCTGGGTACGAGTCCCGTGGGGCGGAATGTGGATGCGCACTGCTGAGGAGTCACGCAATTGGACGAGAAGGCCGTCCAGGTTTTCCATGGTGGTCTAGCTTCATCTGATTCATGATCTTAACCATTGGAATTGCCATAATATCCACAGAACCCATCTGACATTTCATATTTGTTCATCACACAGGTGTCTTTTATGTAAAACAATGTACCTCTATCGGTTTGTATACTTTCTAAATCTCTTTGTGTTCAACAGTTACAGTGGTACACAGTTAATTAGTTATTCACCAAAATTCTATACATCAGTCATGAAATCACCAAATTCTTGTTCGTTGTACCACTTGCGTATCAAATGCTTGCTGTAGGTTGCTACTTCCAGATAAACTACTATTAAGAAATTCAGTAGACAGTATGTTTTTAATCAAAAACTAAGAAACTAGGTGATATTGTGCAAGTATTGTTTAAATGAATCACCAGTTACTGTTTCGAAATTACTAAACATTTTTCTTTCGGGACATAATGATCATAAGACGGTTTAAAAAATAGAATACGCTGAGACAAAACGCCGAATAACAGCCTTATGAATGACACAGCAAAACAGGAGCAGCTTATCTCTACAAAGCAAAAATCGTTTCAATAAACAAAGATCAGGAATAACTGGATTGCTTCTCCTACTATTAACCTACATCAAGTAGGGTTTTATCAAGTAAGATATAACCTAGTAAAGAGGTGAGATGGATTAGAATAGGTTCAATCATTTAGCACTATGCGTTTCGTAAATCGATACGTAGGTTGGTAGTTAAGATTAAAATCAATTGAGATTTATGAATGGTTTGGGTTAGGTTAGCTTTATCTCCATAAATTATCAGAGAATGAGTTTAAATGTCCAATCATCTTTACACTGTTTAAATGAAAATAAAAAAGGCAAGTTTTTAATAACTGAAATCTCACTGTAGATTTATTGGGAGGAAATTTCCTTTGTTCGCAAGTATCACAATATTCAGTATATTTGCCGCTAAAAAGTTCGATTCTGTAGATGTTTGATAAGAATTGTATATGGGAATATTTCCGGGCATCTGGTGATTTCCATTTTCCTCATTAATTTTTGGAGCCGTTATCACTCATCTAAAAGTACACGAATATTGATGTAAATTGTTATTTCGTTTTGTTCAATCTCGCTTTTGGATTATGCGATAATAAAGGGAGGTGACAGAACTGCCAATTCATTTAAAAGGTAATATTGTTTATAAATTATTGGTTTATATACTTGGCCACTAGCCACGAAACTACATCAATCTAATCTAGTATTCTATAAATAATTATATGTTGTTATTAGTTTGAAAACCCGTTAAAAATTCTCAAAAATTATATTACAATTTTAATCTTATAAGTAACTTAAGTTATTTTCTTATGTAAGCCACAGTTTGTATGAGCAACATTATTTATATCACTTATTTGCAAAGCGATTCGACACTATAGTGGGATCGGACATAAGACAACCACTCAAATCACTAAACAATCCACAACATGTTATCAGTTTTATCCCGTTCCAAGTTTATTTTAATGCCAAATTGGGTTGTAAGTTATTATCTCTTCCTTGAAAACATTGAATACTTTCTGAATCGTTATTATAGTCTAAATTAATAATCGAAAATTTATTAAAATAACTGATTACAAACGAATATAATTATTTGTTGTTTTCATTAGAATACTTTCTTAAAAATTTAGGGACCTAATATTTTAAAATCAGTTTTACCATTTTGATTGTTCATGATACAAACTTTCGTAGAACGCGTTGTAATCCGGATCACTAAATAGTTTGAACTATATATTTATTTATTTATTTTTACACATAGATATTGGTACAAGGAGACACGAAATACATATGCGCACACAAATGTCATTCGATATGTGTGAGGGCTGTGATACTGCCCGGGTGCCCAAACCAAAGCAGGTGGTTTTCTTAGGGGGCCACTCCCCGAGCCTTCGACCTAATGGTCTAACCCACAAGGCAGTGGAGCATCGTAAGGAGATGCAATTCCATGGAAGCCGGTGACCAACAATTGGCTCATTCGCCATTTGTTCCCGCAGGATACTGGAGCCCATGTGCACCATTGATTCGGAATCCGGTTAAAGCGCTGGACATTCGCTTTTCGTCCTCTCATTTTCGTAAACAACACCCCGGCCACGAGAAGACAGTGAGTAGGACTTCCCTGGCAGAGGCTATATACGCGTGGCCATATGAGAGCATTTCGAGAGGTAGAGCAGACTCTCACTACTCTCGGCCGTACCAGGGCATTTGGGGGCTTGAACTATATATCACTTGAAATGTAGCTTGTAGATCGAACCTATCATCATAATTAAAACCTGATCTTCACTACGTAATCGGAGCATGTTAACATACTACTGAACGCACTACAATTATTCTTTAACACCATGTTTCGAACAATCTTCACCAAGCCTTCAATCGTTATGAAGGCAAAACAGATTCACTTCACAGTAATTATCTCGTAGATTTAAATAATCAGACTTCAGTTGTTGTCATATTGAACCATTCTCATACTGAATGAATATAAACAACAGAAATTGTCAGAACACAGTCGTCTTTTAAAACGAAAGATTATCATGTTCAACTGATTAATAATACCACGCTCTTATGAGAATCGTGAATCTGTTGAGGACGATAGATCCACAAAACCCATATTTTGTAATTTTATCTTATCGATTAAATGTTTAGATATTTGAATGGCAATCAATTGATGAACTTATCGATTACATGTGCAATTAGGTCAATTGATGAACTTATCGATTAAATGTTTAAATTGCAGTCAATTGACGAACTAATTGATTAATGTTTTAAAATTTTCCATGACAATATCGATTATAAATATTTGTATAAATACGCTTGATTTGTGTGCTTGACCTGACTTGTAATCTGCTGTTTGCCTGTAAAATACACTTTCTACGCCTCACCCAGACTTCTTGATCGAGTTAGCTGAGTTGGGGACAACGGACCAGGATAGCTGTCGAGTCTCTGAATCATTGGTCCTTCGTTCCGTTCGAGTAAGACGAATCAGTAGTAGCATTCACGTTTAACGAACCATAACAGAATCAAGCCGAAATATTGCCATATTCATTGTATTCCTGTAATGGATGTTCATCGAAAAAGGTGTAATCGTTCATAGCTTCGTCTCGATTTATTTCGACTTCCGAACATATGGCACTATGAGAGAAATTTTCTGTCTCTGAATCCATTTCGTTTTAAGATGCAATGTTATTTGACATAGTGTTATACCTCTCATTTCTCTTGCTGCGAGTTGTAACATTAGATTGCCTAATCGTCTTATTTGATGACAGATTGTTACCACGTGTGCGGTCACTTAAAATATTTTGATTTTTCTGTTTCGCTTTACTATACAACAACTTTGTGCTATTTATTTGATAAGATGAAGTCCTAAAATCTGTGTAATAAATGGTCTGAAAACCTACGGAATCAGACAACATAATTTTCCTGATCACGAACCACTGTAATAATAATCATTATTATTTTACTCTTATGCAGTAGTTTCTGTTTTTTGTTGTTCTTTTAATACACACGCTTTACATTTCGTATCTCTTCACAACTTCATTGCTATTGTGTGGCTCATATGCATATGGTACCCGATTGTAACAATATTTATTTGTTCAAATAATTGAATAAAATGATCGTGCTGCATATTCGAGTAAGTGAGACCAGATGGATTATATCATAGAACACAAAATTAGAGAGAAAATCGTACGCTTTACCTTTCATGTATTTACGTCCTGATAATCGTGGTGATGAAGTAACTCCTTGTCTCAGATCATGATCAGTTGAATTCTGTCCATCTGAATTGAAGGGTAAGTAGACAGAAGGGACATGGCCAACGAATAGACCACTCAATGTTCCGTTTCTTCGTCCAGATAATGGTGGTTTGAAATTTTGATGGTAAAGTGAACTCGATCTACTTGCATTGAAATTTATGTGGATTTTTGGACCACGTTCACGGATAGACCTTTCAATGTTCCGCTTATTCGTCCAAATAATGTTGGTGGAGATTTACCATGATGGTTATGTTAACTCGATCTACCTGTATTATATAGATTTTTGGATCATTTTCACCGGAGCGACCACCCCATGATCCATTTCTGCGTCCAGAGAATGTTGGTGGAAAATTACCATGCTGTCCATGTTGATGCTGATATGAATTCGGTCCATTGGCATTGACAGTTATTTATACACTTGGACAATTCTCACAGTAGAAATCATTTTCAATTAATTCTTGATTGTATTTTTTATACATTTTATTCATTTTTATATCTGCACTTGTTCGTTGAATCATATAATGCTGCTTGACTTTGATTTCGAATAACCGATGTACTTATAATATTTTTGAAGTTTTTAATCGATTTCGGTTTTACTTCATTCAAACTCTTGAATAATTTAGTTGCGTCTTTGAATCAATTGTTTACTGTGAAATTTGTCTTTTATATAAAATTCACAGTTGGAATAAACTCACAAAACTAACATTATTTCCAGTTAATTGCACACATTAATAAGTAACATCCTGGTATTAGAATCTAGTTGAATTTGTATTACAGATGATTTATAGGTCTGTATTGAGTGTCCTAATTTAACAATTTTCAAAATGAAATGCTGTTTAGTTTAATAAAAAAGATAACTGATGATATTGAATCAATGGAAAGAAAGTTTGCACCACCAAGTGTTGTTTATTACTCCTAAATATACTATGTACTATCTGCTTTGGTCCATTTAAACGAAACTGAGTTATATCCACTAGTTCACGTAAATTGAAACCTTTGCTATACGAAAGCTAAAACATCCCTTATATGTTCAAAAACAGTCTGTTCTTACTGCTAACCTATCCTGTTAATACTGATTTGTTATACAGTGTGGTTTTTACCTTGTTTTTGTGTACCTTATTATTATTTTTGTTCCTACTTGCATTTCAATTTGTCGAATCGACCCTTTATTTTTCATATAAAGCGTCTTAACAACTACTTATGTGATCAGATTGTTCGAAATGTATAACGCAAATATATAACATAATTTTAATAACCTTCGTCTTTTTAATGCATTATCGAAACATATTCATTTACTGATCATCAATCTGACAACTTCGTTTAATATGTAGACTGATTCAAGTTAACATTGATAACGAGTCATTTCAACATTAACAATTGTATTTTATTTCACAATCCTAACTTCACATCCCATAACTATAAACGATGTAGTTTGCCTTAAATCTGACCACTTTTTGCAATAATTATTAGGATATATCACTGTACAAGCAGAAGAGAATCGGTGTTCGAATATGATGGATATTTTTATACATTTATTATTTCATAGTTGAAATCACGAATCGATCTAAGATAGAACACTATCGAAAACCTGGAAACACTGAACGATCTATTCGTCCTTGTATGGGGATCCTCAGCAGTTCTCACCCACGATCCCACATTCGGAACACGAACCTGGGATCTTTGGTCTCGCGTGCGAACGCTTAACCTCTAAACCACTGAGTGGTTATTCCCAACTTTGATTTATTATTTCGTTGAATTAGTTTTGTGAAGGTCGGTTTTCAAGTTGTAGGTTGTATTTGTTAAGAATTGATTCCAGTTGAAATGCCACCAAATTGTTATGTAAAGCTCAGTATTAATTTACAACTGTCCAAGCTGAAATTTGTACATCTCAGTTTGAAATCGTAACGATGGTCGGATGCTAAGTGATTTAAACTGTATTCCTCAACTTTATTATTTGATGGATATGAAGGCGAATTATTGATTGTAAACACTACCCACTTGTTATGGTGTATGTTCCTTCTTCATCTTCGATATATACTTCTCAGTCAGTCAGTCAGCTACAACGTAGGACCAGGCACATATGTGCATCGGTCCAGGTTGCCATACCGCATCAACACAACAAGATGAACACCGGATTCATAACAGTGGTTAGGTGAAAGGTGGTAATATATAAGAGAAAGATTGCATATAGAGATATAGTACAAGCAGAAAGAATTGGTTCGTAGAAAGATATGAAGCGATTTTAATCTCATAGTTTAAGGGAAGACAGGGAGTGTATACACCGACGCCATTGTGATCGATTCTGAGCCATGTCACCAAGAGTCTCCAACCATTGGTTACCATAGTCACGCGGACCCCAACCAAGTAGTCTGCATCTACCAACATGGCTCAGACTAGAAGTTAGTGACTTCAAGCACTGATGCCACGTTTTGGTTTGGCCGCCCCTAACTTTCTTCCAACCATTTCCAATACCGGATAGCATTGCACGTCGTGGTAATCGGTGTTCAGGCATACGTAACACGTGGCCCAACCATCTCAGTCGATGAAGATTCATAACCTCATCAACTGATTTACCATCCTTTCCTAATACCCTGCGTCTAACCTCACTATTACTTACCCGGTTATCCCAGCAGACGCCAGCAATATTTCTTAGGCATCTGTGGTCAAATACTAATAGCTTACGAGTGTCTTCTACTCTTAATGGCCATGTTTCGCTGCCGTAAATTAAAACAGAACGGACTGCCGCGCAGTATACTCGTCCTTTTATTGATAGACGGATATCTCGCCTTCGCCACAGGTGACGTAAGTTGGCAAAAGCCAAACGAGCTTTTCGAATCCGTGATGAGAATTCGTCCGATACCAACCCATTAGGGCTGATCAGACTTCCAAGATAAGTGAAGTTGTCAACGCGTTCGACTACTTCACTCCCTATCCTTAGTTCAGGTGTTGACGCAGACCAGTCCTGAAGCAACAACTTGCATTTAGAGGGAGAGAAGCGCATTCCAAACATCCTGGCATTGTTGCTCAGTGCTACCAGAAGATTCTGCATTTTGTCAGCGTCTTCACCAAACAGGACTATGTCATCTGCGTATTGTAAGTCGATAAGTGGACCTCCTGGAAGGAGATCAATACCCGAGAACTCAGTCGACGAGAAAGTTATTTCCATCAGTAGATCTATGATGAAGTTAAACAAAAATGGGGAAAGTGGACAGCCTTGACGGACACCACTTGAGGTTGCAAAAGTAGATGACAGTTCGCCATAAGCCCTGACTCGACTAGTAGTGTTCGAGTAAAGAGCCTTTACAAGGTTTATGTACTTCTGGGGTACGCCTTTCAATGACAGACACTGCCACAGAATCTCGCGGTCTACAGAGTCAAATGCTGCTTTTAAGTCAAGAAAGACCACCATCGTCGGACGCCGATAAGTATGCCTGTGTTCTAGAACCTGACGAATGGTGAATATGTGGTCGATGCAACCACGACCAGGTCTGAAGCCAGCTTGATTTTCTCGTGTTTGCAGTTCACGAGTCTTAGTTAGGCGTCTGATTATTATTGAGGCTAGTATCTTAGATATTATATTAGTTAAACTAATCCCTCTGTGGTTGTCACAGGATGATTTTGACCCTTTCTTATATATTGGGACGATGAGTGATTGTGACCAGTCAGATGGAATAACGTCTAACTCCCAGATCTTAGCTAAAATATTAGTCAACCTAACCGCTGAAATTGGACCACCATCGTTAAAGACTTCTGGAGCCAGTCCATCTGGACCAGCAGCCCTTCCTCGTTTCAGATTATCTATAGCCTTTTGAACTTCTGCTAGAGTTGGGGGACCTACTTCAATGTTCCATTCACGCTGTCTGGGAATGGAGGGTAGTTGTAGAGTAGCTGAAGGCCAGCTGAACTGTTCTCTGAAATGTTCAGCCCATCGTTCTAAACGCCTGGACTGGGAGCAGATGATGGCGTCATCTTTTTCCGAAATAGTCTTACTTACACTTAGTAATTCCAGTTTCTTTTATTAGTCTGTAAAGCTGTCTTGTGTTCCCTATAGTCGCCGCCTTTTCCATCTCTTTTGCTTTCGTTGCCCACCACTGCTCACGGTCGTTTCTTAGACTTTTTCTTAACCTAGATCTGATTTTTTGTCGCTCTTCATCATGTTCGGAACCTGATGGGACAAGTTTGCGAGAATCCATCAGTGTGATAGACCTTGATGAAATCCACGGGTTCTTTGTAACCCCGTGGTTTAAATCACTGAGAGATGACACTGCTGTTTCCACAGCTGTTTGTATAGCTTTCCAAGCAACATCTGGGTCAACCTCGTATTCAGAACTACCTAAGTGTGACCTCAGTTGTTCCTGGAACCTACTTCTAGATTTCACAATTACTGTTTTGGCGAATTCTACATATGCTGTCAGATATAAATAGTATGTAGCAGCAGTCGGAAGTAGAAGGCCTGACAGCATAAGATTGAGATGCAGAGAACAGGAAGCAAAATAGAGAGCAGTTGGAATAACGACATAATTCGAAGAATCATGAAGTAGGTAGAAGACAAATGTATACTTTCGCGTGTGATAATAAATTGCTTTTATCCACCAAGTCTTCGTTCACTACTCCATTGCCTCTAATTCATTTATATTTCTATTGATGTTTGGGACTGCAATTGATCATTCTCTTTATTCGTATGTGTTCATCCTGTACAGATTGCCTCGATTCTGCCATCAAGTCATATGCATTATAAGTAGAGATGGATGGTGGCTATCAGTGATATGCAGGACGCACGTTTCATCCTATTTTGAACTCATCAGATGGATGTGCTTGCTGACAAACATCCACCTTAAATTATAATAATATTGACTTTGTTATTTAAGTTAACAACAAGAAATACATGGGTTGACGTTTCCGTTTATTTCTTCTTCATCCTTCCAACGATAACAGTTTCATTTATCCATGACATAAACAGCATACCTACCTTTTAACTGGTTTCACATTTGATTAACCTTTTCGGATGTTCACACGAAACATTTCCGTCAGTTGTTGTCATCTCTCAGTATCCATCACAGTTTTGTCAAGTTAACGGTGTGTAATCAAGTCTTTGCTGCTAAAGTGGATCGTCAATGCCAAAATTTTAAGTGATCAAATTAAATTGAGTGCACGTATGAGCAATGCACCAGTTGTTCCTGAATTTCATACTTAGAATTCTGTATTTGTGGAAGACGTGAATCATCCGTGAATATACAGGATATGAAACTAAGATTTCAATGTGTTATCGAAATTAAGCACGACGCTGAACTGGTAGAAGATAAGCTGGTTGTAAAATCTGTGATAATTTACGCCCTCGAGTTAATTCATCAGAATAGGTCTCACAATAATTCCTCTTATCGTTTTAGTAGCCTAGTATAAATACTTTAGTTCGCTATCGAAATGTCTAAAATGAATATTTCAAGATATCACTTGTCATTACAGAATGAAAATGATAGTGTTAATTGTGTTAGATACATAGTTTTAAAGTGTAGATTGTGCATAATACCTAAGTCACCTAGCATTGCTCATAGTAAACTATCAATTAACTGATCATGCAAGATTTCCATTATACTAAAACCGGGGTAGTTGGAGACAGGACTAGTAAATTCGTCAATAACTGCCACATGTTGCCTCAACATCTCAGTGTTTTTAAACATTACGATGTTGAATTTTTTGGGTGAATATTGGTGAATATGATACGTATTGCAATAGAAAGCTTTACAGAAAAAATGTTTATGATATGATAAATGAGGCTGTGTTGTAATTGTTATATCCTAGCGAAGATTAAATTACGAGTAACTTCTGAGACCTATTAATGGACTAATATTATCTACATATTTTTATGGTATAACGATTCAGTAACTAGATTATGTAAATCTATATACCTCCAATTATAAGCTTCATTTTTGATCTGCAGATTATTATTGTACGATTTACTGTTCTTGAGTTATATTCAGTTTATTGAATACTATCTCCCACATTCACAGCCAAGTTTTGGCTTTATTGTGTATAAATGTTATTTCTTATTTTATAGTACGATGCGGTCTGTTTGCGTGATGTGTAAACCAAGTATGTCTGAGAGAAATGATTCGCATAGTGGAGCCTGTTATTGGCATTGTGGAGTCAGCTGGACAGGCTAGACGAGCAAAAGACCAATAGGATGCTAGGCTGATCAGACCGGTCGGACGTCATTGGTTTAGTGCAGTACAAGAGCGAATAAGTGGTATTTCGATTGACGAATAAATTACGTGATAAGAAGCGAGCCTAAAGACACAACAGTAATAACTCTACATTATTGAGATAGTAAAACAGATAATGAAAAACTAAAGTGCCTCTCAAAACCGTCATCAACAAATCTTATCACTGTTTGAAAGGAAATACTTAAAATCGTACAAATTCTATACTCAATGGGAGAAAAGTGACTTGAAAATCTCCAGGTCCTACTAACGTTGTCCTAGACTTCCCTCGATTTTACTGTTGCAATATTGAGTCTGAAGTAACATGAAGTAAATAAAATTGCTGAAATATCTTACGTTATGCTCATAAAACGTTTTGAGAGCTCTTCATCTCTGTAGATTAGTTCTATTCATGTTTGTTTTATCAAACCAAAAACTTGTGTTAGCGTTTTGAAGATCAAATGGTATGGTTGGTGCAACTATCTGCTTCTAGTTTCAATTTCCAGATGGTCTCAGTCTGAGACATCTGTCCTTTGAACAACGCATGAGCGAACAATATTGTTTTCACTCAGATGGTCATCAGTCCTTACTCCAATATTCACATAGCCAGTGAGCATACGAAAAAGAAAGGTGAATCATTACGAATAATCTATCGTAAACCTTGGTCATTTCCCAATGGAGTGCGATCACGTCTCCTGCACATCGCAGAAGCTATATGGATCCAGACCCATAGACCTAGTTTCAGTTCAGAAGAAATTCCTGACACCCTTGTTCATTCCTTGGTCCTATACGACTTAATAAACGATTTTATTAGTGTTTTCACATTCCGTATTCGTTTGTCATTCTTCACCCCTTTCCGTTTATATTCTTCAGTAAAGTCTGGTGATGCTCTAATTGAAAACAATATTATTGGCTTATTTTTTGTTGGTTTTCGTCGATTGATTTTCTTACTAATTGTAAGTGGATTTCGTGCACTAGCTAGATCGTTGTCTCACATTTTCTTTTGTTCGACTCTTTATCAGCTTCTCCCACTCACTCTACTCTGCACGCTCCCCCAGTATACAAAGTATCTTCTAGCTAGATACGAACGGCTATTTATGGTAAGACACTAGTGCAACAAACGTAACATTCTTTTTACGTTTTGGAAGAACTACGTATGATATTAGTTGAAATATATTCTGATATATGTATATATGTTGTTTAACACGTTTCACAATAGTGTTTGACATTATTTTATACATAAATAAATTTGATTCTATGTGGAATAAAACATATTTATCACATCTGGTGTTTTACTGCACTTATAACTGCACATCGAATTCCCAGATTTTGTCTTGAGAAGATTTTCTTTTAGTTTTGTTTCGCGATTCTTTCGGCGTTGTTTCTGTATTAGTTTTTCTTCCTCCACGTTTGTTTTTAGATTTATAAGTTCCATAGACATGATCTTTTCCATACTTTTTCTTTGATTTAGCTTTAATTTTAAAGTTATCTGTAATATATGAACTAGCATATCGATCCAAACTTCCAATTGTCGGTATACTGTCGGAATCCTTTCGATTACGTTTACCATATTTTGTGATTTTACCACCATATTGAAATGTAGATGCTTCTGAATCAATATCATCAAAAATTGAGTCACTACGAGAGGAGAAAATATCTTTATAGCGTTTACCACCTGCCTTGTTTGATAATCTCTTATTATAATAATCATTTCTATTATTTTTGAACGAACTGTCTTCTCCGCTAGTACTGTGAGTTGCATTCATTACTTCTTCCTCTACTTTTTCAAACATGTACTCAATTGATCGACCTATAAAGGATTGTGTATTTTTTTATGTTATTAAATTGAATGTCATGTAACTGATTATTAGTAGTAAAGAGAGATTAATAATCCTTTCTTCCATCACAATAAGAACTAAGGAAAATAAACCAAACTCTTCTACGCATTTCGCTAACTTAATCAAATATACGTATTTACATGAATTTGTTCTTCATATGACACAGTTACTAAGTACATTTTGAGGAAATAATGATTATTTTAACACGTATTACATGATCACTCGAAATCCTATGCTATTAAATAACCAGAAAACAGTTATCAATTGACTGTCTTTTGTAGTTTAAACGACTGAACACCAACCATCGGTATAAATTTGGTGACCATTTAGATATAGTGATATTTTTAATCAAATACTCTCATTCACTATCTTAGGTTGAATTTTTGTGATCTCCCGTTTAATGAGTTATAAAGTTCGGATAGGAGAGGGATAGGTAATAGTCATATTTTCTATTGATTAATATATTATAAATTGAAACCTGTTTCGATTATCTTATTGATTGCAGTCTGCAACTACAATATATATATATATATATATATATATATATATATATATATATATATATATATATATATATATATATATATATATATATATATATATATATATATATATATATATATATATATATATATATATATATTATTCACAGGTTCATTTCACAGTAATTATCTCGTAGATTTAAATAATCAGACTACAGATGTCATATTGAACCATTCTCATACTGAATGAATATAAATAACAGAAATTGTCAGAACACAGTCGACTTTTAAAACGAAAGATTATCATATTCAACTGATCAATAATATTACGCTGTATTGAGAATTGTGAATCAAGCCGAAATTAGAACATATATAAGCGAACAATTGTTTTCAATTAGATCGTCATCAGGCTTTACTCTAATATACATGAATATTTATACGAAAATGTTAAATTAATCAAGGCAATATGAGTCAATAATCACAATGAATTAGAATAAGTCTACCGAAATATTGCCATATTCATTGTATTCCTGTAATGGTTGTTCATCGAAAAAGGTGTAATTGTTCATAGCTTCGTCTCGATTTATTTCGACTGCCGAATATATGTCACTATGAGAGAAATTTTCTGTCTCTGAATCCATTTCGTTTTAAGATGCAATGTTATTTGACATAGTGTTATACCTCTCATTTCTCTTGCTGCGAGTTGTAACATTAGATTGCCTAATCGTCTTATTTGATGACAGATTGTTACCACGTGTGCGGTCACTTAAAATATTTTGATTTTTCTGTTTCGCTTTACTATACAACAACTTTGTGCTATTTATTTGATAAGATGAAGTCCTAAAATCTGTGTAATAAATGGTTGTCTGAAAACCTACGGAATCAGGCAACACATAATTTTCCTGATCACCAACCACTGTAATAATAATTATTATTATATTACTCTTAAACTATTTAGGGGTTGTGATTTCTGTATTTTGTTGTTCTTTTAATACACACGCTTTACATTTCGTATCTCTTCACAACTTCATTGCTATTGTGTGGCTCATATGCATATGAAGCCCGATTGTAACAATATTTATTTGTTCAAATAATTGAATAAAATGATCGTGCTGCATATTCGAGTAAGTGAGACCAGATGGATTATATCATAGAACACAAAATTAGAGAGAAAATCGTACGCTTTACCTTTCATGTATTTACGTCCTGATAATCGTGGTGGTGAAGTAACTCCTTGTTTCAGATCATGATCAGTTGAATTCTGTCCATCTGAATTGAAGGTTAAGTGGATAGAAGGACCTTTGCCACCGTATAGACCACTTAGTGACCCATTTCGTCGTACAGATAATCGTGGTGGAACATTACCCTGCTGTCCATATTTTTTGTGATATGAACTTGATCTACTTGCATTGACAATTTTGTGGATGTTTGGACCACGATTACCGGATAGACCACTCAATGTTCCGTATCTTGGTCCATATAATCGCGTTGGAAAATATTGAGTTTTATTTGAACTCGATCCACCTGCACACACAGTTACGTGAATACGTGGACTTTTTTCACCGGATAGACCACTCAATGTTCCGTATCTTCGTCCATATGATCGTGTTGGATAGTATTGATGTTGATATGAACTCGATTTACCTGCATTCACAGTTATGTAGATACATTGACCACTTTCGATTGAGAGACCTTTCAATGACCCATATCTTCGCCCATATAATCCTGAATGAATATTACCATACTGTCCATAATGGTGGTGATGTGAACCCGGTCCACTGGTACTGACAGTTATGTAGATTCGTTGACCATTGTCACCGGAGAGACCACTCAATGATCCGTTTCTTCGTCCACCAAATACTGGTGGTGTATAATTACCATGAATGTGATGTGAACTCGATCCGCCTCCACTGACAGTTTTGTAGATTCCTGGACCATTGTCACCGGAGAGACCAATCAATGATCCGTTTCTTCGTCCACCAAATACTGGTGGTGTATAATTACCATGAATGTGATGTGAACTCGATCCGCCTCCACTGACAGTTTTGTAGATTCCTGGACCATTGTCACCGGAGAGACCAATCAATGATCCGTTTCTTCGTCCACCAAATACTGGTGGTGTATAATTACCATGAATGTGATGTGAACTCGATCCGCCTCCACTGACAGTTTTGTAGATTCCTGGACCATTGTCACCGGAGAGACCAATCAATGATCCGTTTCTTCGTCCACCAAATACTGGTGGTGTATAATTACCATGAATGTGATGTGAACTCGATCCGCCTCCACTGACAGTTTTGTAGATTCCTGGACCATTGTCACCGGAGAGACCAATCAATGATCCGTTTCTTCGTCCACCAAATACTGGTGGTGTATAATTACCATGAATGTGATGTGAACTCGATCCGCCTCCACTGACAGTTTTGTAGATTCCTGGACCATTGTCACCGGAGAGACCAATCAATGATCCGTTTCTTCGTCCACCAAATACTGGTGGTGTATAATTACCATGAATGTGATGTGAACTCGATCCGCCTCCACTGACAGTTTTGTAGATTCCTGGACCATTGTCACCGGAGAGACCAATCAATGATCCGTTTCTTCGTCCACCAAATACTGGTGGTGTATAATTACCATGAATGTGATGTGAACTCGATCCGCCTCCACTGACAGTTTTGTAGATTCCTGGACCATTGTCACCGGAGAGACCAATCAATGATCCGTTTCTTCGTCCACCAAATACTGGTGGTGTATAATTACCATGAATGTGATGTGAACTCGATCCGCCTCCACTGACAGTTTTGTAGATTCCTGGACCATTGTCACCGGAGAGACCAATCAATGATCCGTTTCTTCGTCCACCAAATACTGGTGGTGTATAATTACCATGAATGTGATGTGAACTCGATCCGCCTCCACTGACAGTTTTGTAGATTCCTGGACCATTGTCACCGGAGAGACCACTCAATGATCCGTTTCTTCGTCCACCAAATACTGGTGGTGTATAATTACCATGAATGTGATGTGAACTCGATCCGCCTCCACTGACAGTTTTGTAGATTCCTGGACCATTGTCACCGGAGAGACCAATCAATGATCCGTTTCTTCGTCCACCAAATACTGGTGGTGTATAATTACCATGAATGTGATGTGAACTCGATCCGCCTCCACTGACAGTTTTGTAGATTCCTGGACCATTGTCACCGGAGAGACCAATCAATGATCCGTTTCTTCGTCCACCAAATACTGGTGGTGTATAATTACCATGAATGTGATGTGAACTCGATCCGCCTCCACTGACAGTTTTGTAGATTCCTGGACCATTGTCACCGGAGAGACCAATCAATGATCCGTTTCTTCGTCCACCAAATACTGGTGGTGTATAATTACCATGAATGTGATGTGAACTCGATCCGCCTCCACTGACAGTTTTGTAGATTCCTGGACCATTGTCACCGGAGAGACCAATCAATGATCCGTTTCTTCGTCCACCAAATACTGGTGGTGTATAATTACCATGAATGTGATGTGAACTCGATCCGCCTCCACTGACAGTTTTGTAGATTCCTGGACCATTGTCACCGGAGAGACCAATCAATGATCCGTTTCTTCGTCCACCAAATACTGGTGGTGTATAATTACCATGAATGTGATGTGAACTCGATCCGCCTCCACTGACAGTTTTGTAGATTCCTGGACCATTGTCACCGGAGAGACCAATCAATGATCCGTTTCTTCGTCCACCAAATACTGGTGGTGTATAATTACCATGAATGTGATGTGAACTCGATCCGCCTCCACTGACAGTTTTGTAGATTCCTGGACCATTGTCACCGGAGAGACCAATCAATGATCCGTTTCTTCGTCCACCAAATACTGGTGGTGTATAATTACCATGAATGTGATGTGAACTCGATCCGCCTCCACTGACAGTTTTGTAGATTCCTGGACCATTGTCACCGGAGAGACCAATCAATGATCCGTTTCTTCGTCCACCAAATACTGGTGGTGTATAATTACCATGAATGTGATGTGAACTCGATCCGCCTCCACTGACAGTTTTGTAGATTCCTGGACCATTGTCACCGGAGAGACCAATCAATGATCCGTTTCTTCGTCCACCAAATACTGGTGGTGTATAATTACCATGAATGTGATGTGAACTCGATCCGCCTCCACTGACAGTTTTGTAGATTCCTGGACCATTGTCACCGGAGAGACCACTCAATGATCCGTTTCTTCGTCCACCAAATACTGGTGGTGTATAATTACCATGAATGTGATGTGAACTCGATCCGCCTCCACTGACAGTTTTGTAGATTCCTGGACCATTGTCACCGGAGAGACCAATCAATGATCCGTTTCTTCGTCCACCAAATACTGGTGGTGTATAATTACCATGAATGTGATGTGAACTCGATCCGCCTCCACTGACAGTTTTGTAGATTCCTGGACCATTGTCACCGGAGAGACCAATCAATGATCCGTTTCTTCGTCCACCAAATACTGGTGGTGTATAATTACCATGAATGTGATGTGAACTCGATCCGCCTCCACTGACAGTTTTGTAGATTCCTGGACCATTGTCACCGGAGAGACCACTCAATGATCCGTTTCTCTTACCAGTTAATTCTGTTGGATAATTCCCACCTACCTCTCGTTGTCCTTGTCTGTTCTGTTCGCTTGCTTCCACGTTTTTATTGATTCTTACTATGATTAAAATGGCAGTGACTAATATGTAAAATGAGTATTCTCCCAGTTTCATTTTTGTTGACGCGAACTTTTCTCTTTTCGAATTTTATCACTATTTATTTGTAGCATTTTTTTCTAAGTAACTTCATTTTTTTCATGTTCAATTAATATTTGATTATATTTTTCGTATATTCTAGTTATTTTTATGTGCACTTGTTGGTTGAACTACATAATGGTGCTTGACTTTTGATTTCGAGTAAATGCTGCACTTATAATATTTTTGAAGTTTTTAATCGATTTTGCTTTTACTTAATTCGAACTTTTCTATAATGTGGTTGTACCTTTTAATCTAAACTCATCCTGTTTATTTTCTAGTGCTTCGGCCGGTCCTATTCGCGGTTAAATTTGGAAGATTAGGCATTCGGTCAGAAATCTTATCCTGTAGAAAAAAGCTTGTAAAATGAATACTGACGAAACAAGTAAACCATTTAGTCTATCCCTACAAGTTGAAGGAAATATTATGACGCCTCCTTATGAAAGCAGAAATTCTTCGATAGTCACGAGGCCGCTGCCTCTTCTAACAGCCAGGGCAGATGTAATATATGTTCACGGAATGACTGGACAGAGTGTAAATTTGGGGGGATCACTCTGATTGAAGATGCCACCGGTATTAGGAGTTTGGAAACGCTTTAACCAGTAACATCTAATGTAAAGCGTACCCACCGAGTGAAATCAAAAAACAGAAGCGAGGAGGTTCGAAGATATATTTGATAGGCTATCAATATATCGAGGATCGTCTGATCTAATCTGGCTAGCGACTGCAGGGGTTGTTGAGCACGGCGTTCACAATCGTGATCTGGTGCGGATGCATGACTAAGCACCTTAAGCTAGGTGAGTCCATTAAAACTAATGTGGTCAGCATCCAATGTTTAAAACTTACAGAGCTATTTATTTTGGAGATTTTTTTACCGCTACAAGATAGCTGCAGACATGAGGAGATTCAATTTGACGATGTTAGGGATAAGTGAAATCCAATGGATCAATGCTGAACAGAATAGAATAGTTTTAGGAGAGATGCTGTTGCAAAATTACACGGAAGACCCAGCAACGAAAAATGCTTTGAGAACAGGAAATATGAAGCAGTTAAATGGAACAACGAAGAAACTGGCATATAAATATCCTAAAGCAGAACGACGGTTCAAGGACAAATAAGGCAAGTCAATATTTGAGATTCGAGAACACTGGTAGAACACTGTAAGGAACTCTTTAATGAATCGGCTCCACTGAATCCACTGAGAATTGAAGCAGACCTTTAAACTTTTCTATAGTTTTTACTCCACCACCGTTCGAAGAAATTATAACGGTCATCTGACAAACCAACAGTGGGAAAGCACCAGGACCTGACAATGTACCAGCTGAAGCACTAAAGTGAGATATAGAAGTAACTATAAACCTGCTACACGTTCTATTCCGGAGGATTTGGGAGGAAGTACAAGTGCCGACAGACTAGAAAGAAGGATACCTTATCTAAATACCGAAAATAGAAATCTGAGCAAATATGAGAACCACAGATGCATCACGTTATGATAGGTAGCGGGAGAATTTTTCAACAGAGTGTTGCTGAACCGGATGAAGGATTCAGTAGACGCCAAACTTCGAGATCAACAAGCTAGGTTCCGTAAGGATCGGTCATGCATAGACCAAACTGATACACTACGGATCATCATTGAACAATCGTCATTGTACATCAACTTTCTTGACTATGACAAAGCATTCGACAGTGTGGATAGGAGAACATTATGGAAAGTTCTTCTATAATGTACCTGAGAAGATGGTCAACATAGTACGGAATTCTTATGACGGACTACACTACAAAGTCGTGCATGGAGAACAGCTGACAGACGCATTCCAAGTGGGGTCTGCAGTTAGACAAGATTGATTACTCTCCCAATTTCTCTTTCTTCTGGTGGTTCACTAGATTATGAAGGCCTCCACACCTGAGGAGAAGCACAGAATACAATGGACAGGCTGGATGCAATCAGACGATTCGGACTTCGTGGATGACCTGACGCTTCTATCCCACACACACATCAACAAACGCAGATGAAAACATAGTGTAGCAGCAGCCTGTGCATTATTAGGCCTAAACATACACAAGGGAGAAAACAAGATCCACAAATACAACACGGAGAACAACAACCTAACCACACTTGATGGAGAAACTCTAGAACAGGTGGAATCTTTCACGTACCTGGGAAGGATCATCGATGAAGGTGGAAGATCTGATGGAGACGTAAGGGTAAGTATTGGAAGAACAAAGACAGCATTCCTATAGTTGAAGGACATATGGAACTCAAAACAACTGTCAACCAGTATCAATGTCACAGTTTTCAACACGGTTATCAATACAGTTAGTTATATAGTACGGAGTTGTAACTTGGAGAATTACCACAACCATCATAAAAAAATACAAGTATTTATAAACAATTGCCGACACAAGATATTGAATGTCCGTTGGCGTTATACCATCAGCAACAGCCTACTCTGGAAATGAACAAACCATCTTCCGGCTGAAGAGCAAATTTGAGAAAGACTTTGGAGGTGGATTCGACACATAACGGAAATCAACACGAAGCAAGCGCCAAGTTGAAATCCTGAAAGGAAAATGAAGAGAGGAAGATCAAGGATTACTTCTTACGTCGAGAATTGGGTGCAGACATGAAAAGGATTAATAGCAACTGGAATGGACTGTTCAGGACAAAGTCGGATGGAGAATGCTGGTGGGTAGCCTATGTTGCTGCATGAGGTGTAACAGGCGTAAGTATGTAATTAAGTATCTTTAAATCAACTGTTTACTGTGAAATTTTGATTTTTACATCAACTTCACAGTTGGAATATACTTACCAATTGCACGCGTGACCAAGTAACATCTTGGTATTAGAATCTAGTTGAATTTGTATTAAAGACGATTTATAGGTCTGTATTGAGTGTCTTAATTTAACAATTTTCAAAATGAAATGCTGTTTAGTTTAATACAAAAGATAACTGATGATATTGGATCAATGGAAAGAAAGTTTGCACCACCAAGTTATGTTTATGACTCCCAAATTAATTTACGACAGAGATGGTTTGAAATTGAAAGATTGTAATGTGTCGCATTACTTACCTTTCTCTTTACATTAGCTTTTGAATGAGTTCATCAGATTGATATTTATAATAATGGCTTAACTCAAGTTTATAAATAATGAGTTACTGGTTATGGTGTATGTAAAGATAAGAATCATGTCACGGTCGTTTATCGTGAATATGAACAAATAAACTGTGATTTTACTTAATTATTTTGTTTAATGGATTATAATTCCATTTCTATCCAAGATTTATTTGGATACATGTTTGTTTTCAATGTTTCTTTCATACAAATACAACTACTGTTTTGGCGAATGCTACTTATGCTGTCAGATATATGTATGTATGTATGTATGTAGTAGCAGTCGGAAGTAGAAGGCCTGTCAGCATAAGATTGGGATGGAGAGAACAGGAAGCAAAACAGAGAGCAGTTGGAATAACGACATAATTGGAAGAATCATGAACTAGGTAGAAGACAAATGTATACTTTCACGTATGATAACAAATTGCTTTTATCCACCAAGCCTTCGTTCACTACTCCATTGACTCTAATTCACTTATATTTCTATTGATGTTTGGGACTGCAATTGATCATTCTCATTATTCGTATGTGTACATCCTGTAGAGATTGCCTCGATTCTGCCATCAAGTCATATGCATTATAAGTAGAGATGGATGGTGGCTATCAGTGATATGCAGGACGCACGTTTCATCCTATTTTGAACTCATCAGATGGATGTGCTTGCTGACCAACATCCACCTTAGCTTATAATATAATTGACTTTGTTATTTAAGTTAACAACAAGAAATACATGGGTTGACGTTTCCGTTTATTGTTTCTTCATCCTTCCAACGATAACAGTTTCATTTATCCATGACATAAACAGCATACCTACCTTTTAACTGATTTCATATTTGATTAACCTTTTCGGATGTTCACGCGAAACATCTTCGTCAGTTGTTGTCATCTCTCAGTATCCGTCACAGTTTTGTCAAGTTAACTGTGTGTAATCAAGTCTTTGCTGCTAAAGTGGATCGTCAATGCCAAAATTTTTAAGTGATCAAATTAAATTGAGTGCACGTATGAGCAATGCACCAGTTGTTGCTGAATTTCATACTTAGAATTCTGTATTTGTGGAAGACGTGAATCATCCGTGAATATCCAGGACATGAAACTAAGATTTCAATGTGTTATCGAAATTAAGCACGACGCTGAACTGGTAGAAGATAAAGCGGATGTAAAATCTGTGTTAATTTACGCCCTCGAGTTAATTCATCAGAATAGGTCTCACAATAATTCCTCTTATCGTGTTAGTAGCCTAGTATAAATACTTTAGTTCGCTATCGAAATGTCTAAAACGAATATTTCAAGATATCACTTGTCATTACAGAATGAAAATGATAGTGTTAATTGTGTTAGATACATAGTTTTAAAGTGTACATTGTGCATAATACCTAAGTCATCTAGCATTGCTCATAGTAAACTATCAATTAACTGATCATGCAAGATTTCCACTATACTAAAACCGGGGTAGTTGGAGACAGGACTAGTAAATTCGTCAATAACTGCCACATGTTGCCTCAACATCTCAGTGTTTTTAAACATTACGATGTTGAATTTTTTGGGTGAATATTGGTGAATATGATACGTATTGCAATAGAAAGCTTTACAGAAAAAATGTTTATGATATGATAAATGAGGCTGTGTTGTAATTGTTATATCCTAGCGAAGATTAAATTACGAGTAACTTCTGAGACCTATTAATGGACTAATATTATCTACATATTTTTATGGTATAACGATTCAGTAACTAGATTATGTAAATCTATATACCTCCAATTATAAGCTTCATTTTTGATCTGCAGATTATTATTGTACGATTTACTGTTCTTGAGTTATATTCAGTTTATTGAATACTATCTCCCACATTCACAGCCAAGTTTTGGCTTTATTGTGTATAAATGTTATTTCTTATTTTATAGTACGATGCGGTCTGTTTGCGTGATGTGTAAACCAAGTATGTCTGAGAGAAATGATTCGCATAGTGGAGCCTGTTATTGGCATTGTGGAGTCAGCTGGACAGGCTAGACGAGCAAAAGACCAATAGGATGCTAGGCTGATCAGACCGGTCGGACGTCATTGGTTTAGTGCAGTACAAGAGCGAATAAGTGGTATTTCGATTGACGAATAAATTACGTGATAAGAAGCGAGCCTAAAGACACAACAGTAATAACTCTACATTATTGAGATAGTAAAACAGATAATGAAAAACTAAAGTGCCTCTCAAAACCGTCATCAACAAATCTTATCACTGTTTGAAAGGAAATACTTAAAATCGTACAAATTCTATACTCAATGGGAGAAAAGTGACTTGAAAATCTCCAGGTCCTACTAACGTTGTCCTAGACTTCCCTCGATTTTACTGTTGCAATATTGAGTCTGAAGTAACATGAAGTAAATAAAATTGCTGAAATATCTTACGTTATGCTCATAAAACGTTTTGAGAGCTCTTCATCTCTGTAGATTAGTTCTATTCATGTTTGTTTTATCAAACCAAAAACTTGTGTTAGCGTTTTGAAGATCAAATGGTATGGTTGGTGCAACTATCTGCTTCTAGTTTCAATTTCCAGATGGTCTCAGTCTGAGACATCTGTCCTTTGAACAACGCATGAGCGAACAATATTGTTTTCACTCAGATGGTCATCAGTCCTTACTCCAATATTCACATAGCCAGTGAGCATACGAAAAAGAAAGGTGAATCATTACGAATAATCTATCGTAAACCTTGGTCATTTCCCAATGGAGTGCGATCACGTCTCCTGCACATCGCAGAAGCTATATGGATCCAGACCCATAGACCTAGTTTCAGTTCAGAAGAAATTCCTGACACCCTTGTTCATTCCTTGGTCCTATACGACTTAATAAACGATTTTATTAGTGTTTTCACATTCCGTATTCGTTTGTCATTCTTCACCCCTTTCCGTTTATATTCTTCAGTAAAGTCTGGTGATGCTCTAATTGAAAACAATATTATTGGCTTATTTTTTGTTGGTTTTCGTCGATTGATTTTCTTACTAATTGTAAGTGGATTTCGTGCACTAGCTAGATCGTTGTCTCACATTTTCTTTTGTTCGACTCTTTATCAGCTTCTCCCACTCACTCTACTCTGCACGCTCCCCCAGTATACAAAGTATCTTCTAGCTAGATACGAACGGCTATTTATGGTAAGACACTAGTGCAACAAACGTAACATTCTTTTTACGTTTTGGAAGAACTACGTATGATATTAGTTGAAATATATTCTGATATATGTATATATGTTGTTTAACACGTTTCACAATAGTGTTTGACATTATTTTATACATAAATAAATTTGATTCTATGTGGAATAAAACATATTTATCACATCTGGTGTTTTACTGCACTTATAACTGCACATCGAATTCCCAGGTTTTGTCTTGAGAAGATTTTCTTTCAGTTTTGTTTCGCGATTCTTTCGGTGTTGTTTCTGTATTAGTTTTTCTTCCTCCACATATTTATCACATCTGGTGTTTTACTACATTTGTATCCACTAAGTTTTATTAACATGTATAATTTCTTCAGTTTTGTTTCGCGATTCGCTCGATTTTCTTTCAGCATCAGTTTTTCTTTCTCTTTTATTTCCATTAGTATTCTGAATACCAGAGAATAGCATATCCCTCCCTGTCATTTCAGACATTCCATTATAGTCTTTTGCATATTTCTTCTTTGATTTAGCTCGAATCTTAAAGTCATCTTTAATATATGAACTAGCATATCGATCCGAACTTCCAATTGTATCTCTGTCGGAATACTTTCGACTACGTTTACCATATTTTGTGATTTTACCACCATACTGAAATGTAGTTGTTTCTGAATCAATATCACCGAATATTGAATAACCGTGAGAATAGAAAAGACCTTCATAGCGTTTACCACCTGCCTTGTTTTTTTGTCTCCTTTTATAATATTTGCCATCGCTTTGAACCAAGTTGAAATCATTTCTCTTCTTACCGGATGAACTTTCTTCGTTGCTAGTTATATTCATTGCTTCTCTCTGTGCTTTTTCAATCGTTTCCTGAAAAGCCTGCCCCAAAATTCTTTGCGTATTTCCTAATGTTATTACATTGATTGTTAAATAACTTATTAGTAGTATTAAATGAAAATTAATAATCCTTTCTTTCATCACAGTGATATCTAAGTGAAATAAACCCAACTCTTCTACGCATTCGGTTAACTTGATCAAATATACGTATTTATATGAATTCGTTCTTCATATGACACAGTTACTAAGTACATTTCGATGTCAGCAACAATCAGAATATTAAGTATGACAAAAAGATATGTATTACGTAGTATTTAGCTAACGTTTTGCGCAACTCGATATACATTAAACTTGGTTATAAATTGATGACAATAAATAAACTAAACTAATCTGTCTGGTAGTTTTGCTGTGAGACTTGACAGTTGACTAATTGATCTTCTATTCGTCACCAATTGATATCGTCTGAGGTACAACTAGAAACTAGGGCCACTGAACAGTTTTTTTCTTGGCACTGGTCTCCTCAGGAATATGCATCGAGAATTATGCTAGTAATTGAAGCCACGATCTGTAGTGCATGCCACAGAGGAGTCCAGTACTAGGGTGAAACAGCTATTCAAGGTTCCTGCTTTTTCATGATACATCGATTGGCGTCAGTCTGTGGCAAATAAAACCTTCAGATTTACCTAGTCATCACAAAATCCTTCCACCAGACTTGCCACTTAACATTCGCTAGAATTTGGTGAATCATTCATAAAATTTACCAACTGAAAACGAAGGTCACTCTTGGAAGTTATCGCAATACTTTGTGCATACTAATTGAGTTCTCCGAATGTATGACGAGATTCTCTTGTTTTGATGCAGCTTTTAACCTTGTTCATTCCTAGTTCCATTCATCAATTCAGTGTTGTCTACACATAAACCACGATTAAAACTGACTGATTGGTTAACATAGGAAATAATGGTTATTATAACATTTATTACATGGTCACTAGAAATCCTATGCTATTCAATAACTAGAGTACATTTATCAACTGACTATCTTTTGTAGTTTAAACGATTGACCACCAACCATTGGTATTAATTTCTTAACATTGATATTCTCCTTTAGCCATGATTGCACCGCGAAATCTCACAGTGAATTTATTATCATCTAACACTTTATTGGTCAGTAAGACAGAAGGTTCCTTACTCCAGATTCTCATTTATACCTCTCCATAGTGAAAACTATCTTATTGAGCCATCTATTATCTTGCTGAGCATGTTAGTACTAATAATCTAGTCACTTGCAATCTAATTTTAGGTTGCTTTGCAATATATATAGTGATTTTTTAATTAAATACTCTCATTCACTGTCTTAGGCTGCATTTTTGTGATCTCCCGTTCAATGAGTTATAAAGTTCTGATGGGAGAGGAATAGGTAGTAGTCATATTTTCTATCGATTAATATAAGATGAACTGAAACCTACTTCGATTATCTTATCTATTTTATTCGGTAATATCATTAGTAAACATTTAACGAATATAAATTCTAGACGGAACTATATTTTTAGATGGTGGATTGAGAGAATCTTTACCAAGTTACATCATGTTATAAATATGGCATCAATAAATCATTTATTAAGGAAAGTAAAGACTTCGAAAGTTTGAATAGGTGAATAACAGAACCGCTTCCTCATAGATAGGAATCAATCTCTTTTGATTGTAGTGGATAAAATTACCAATGATGTAGTGAAACCAAGGTCAATCTCCTTTTTATGTATACTATGCTCATCAGTTTGTCCCTCGATATTAAGTATATTTATAACAATGTCTTTCTGATCTGGATCAATGTGGAGCTTGAAGTCATTAAGATATCTGTAAATAACGGGATTTGAGGAAAATTCATCATTTATTGTCAATCAAGAGATAACTATATCTGGCACAAGGGTGCTCTAATTGAAAACAATATTCTTAGCTTATTTTATTGTTGGTTTTCGTCGATTGTTTTTCTTACTAATTGTAAGTGGATTTCGTGCACTTGCTTGATCGTTTACTCACATTTTTCTCTTGTTCGTATCTTTATCAGCTCATCTCACTTACTCTACTCTGCACGCTCTCCCACTATACAAAGTACCTTCTAGCTAGATACGAACGGCTATTTATGATAAGACAATAGTGCAACAAACGTAACATTATTTTTACGTTTTGAAAGAACAATGTATGATATTACTTGAAATATTTTCTGATACATATGTTGTTTAACAATTTTCAAAATAATGGTTGACATTATTTTATACATAAATAAATTTGATTCTATGTGGAATATAACATATTTATCACATCTGGTTATTTACTGCATCTGTAACTAAAGCGTACGTCGGTTATCCACTGATTCAGATCTGTTTCGCGATTCTTTGAATTCTGATTCTTTATCAGTTTTTGTATTTTCTTTATTTTGATTAGTATTCCGAGTACCAAAGATTTGCATATCGATCCCTGACATTTCAGACATTCCATTATAGTCTTTTGCATATTTCTTCTTTGATTTAGCTCGAATCTTAAAGTCATCTTTAATATATGAACTAGCATATCGATCCGAACTTCCAATTGTATCTCTGTCGGAATACTTTCGACTACGTTTACCATATTTTGTGATTTTACCACCATACTGAAATGAAGTTGTTTCTGAATCAATATCACCGGATATTGAATAACCGCGAGAATAGAAAAGACCTTCATAGCGTTTACCACCTGCTTTGTTTGATTGTCTCCTTTTATAATATTTGCCATCGCTTTGAGACAACTTCATATCGTCGCTCCTACTACTGGACGAACTTCCTTCTCTGCGAGTTACATTCATTGCTTCTCTCTGCGCTTTATCAATAGCATCAGTCAATGAACGATGCATGAAAATTTGCGTATTACCTAATGTTAGTAAATTGATTGTTATATAACTAATTAGTAGTATTAAATGAAAATTAATAATCCTTTCTTTCATCACAGTGATATCTATGTGAAATAAACCCAACTTTTCTACGCATTCGGTTAACTTGATCAAATATACGTATTTATATGAATTCGTTCTTCATATGACACAGTTACTAAGTACATTTCGATGTCAGCAACAATCAGAATATTAAGTATGACAAAAAGATATGTATTACGTAGTATTTAGCTAACGTTTTACGCAACTCGATTTACATTAAACTTGGTTATAAATTGATGACAATAAATAAACTAAACTAATCTGTCTGGTAGTTTTGCTGTGAGACTTGACAGTTGACTAATTGATCTTCTATTCGTCACCAATTGATATCGTCTGAGGTACAACTAGAAACTAGGGCCACTGAACAGTTTTTTTCTTGGCACTGGTCTCCTCAGGAATATGCATCGAGAATTATGCTAGTAATTGAAGCCACGATCTGTAGTGCATGCCACAGAGGAGTCCAGTACTAGGGTGAAACAGCTATTCAAGGTTCCTGCTTTTTCATGATACATCGATTGGCGTCAGTCTGTGGCAAATAAAACCTTCAGATTTACCTAGTCATCACAAAATCCTTCCACCAGACTTGCCACTTAACATTCGCTAGAATTTAGTGAATCATTCATAAAATTTACCAACTGAAAACGAAGGTCACTCTTGGAAGTTATCGCAATACTTTGTGCATACTAATTGAGTTCTCCGAATGTATGACGAGATTCTCTTGTTTTGATGCAGCTTTTAACCTTGTTCATTCCTAGTTCCATTCATCAATTCAGTGTTGTCTACACATAAACCACGATTAAAACTGACTGATTGGTTAACATAGGAAATAATGGTTATTATAACATTTATTACATGGTCACTAGAAATCCTATGCTATTCAATAACTAGAGTACATTTATCAACTGACTATCTTTTGTAGTTTAAACGATTGACCACCAACCATTGGTATTAATTTCTTAACGTTGATATTCTCCTTTAGCCATGATTGCACTGCGAAATCTCACAGTGAATTTATTATCATCTAACACTTTATTTTTTTCTGGTAAGCGTTTTTTAGCGAGTTAGTTTTCTACGGGATGGGGACGCTAACCCCATGCCCAACCCTCCTCCTTTACCCGTGCTTGGGACCGGCAGTAACCCTATGAGAGCTACAGGCGGAGTTAGTACGACTTCGCCCTCAGACTTTGAGTTGCTGCTTTTAGTCTTACCGTTCACCAATCGACCTGCCTGGCATGGTAGAACCTACAGGAACATATGTTCCAGCCAATATAGCTCGGATGGGTCATCACGATAGGCAAGCCCGACCACCACGTCAAGGTAGCAGCTTCGGTCGGGAGTAACAGGCGTAAGTAACTAGTAAGTAACACTTTATTGGTCAGTAAGACAGAAGGTTCCTTACTCCAGATTCTCATTTATACCTCTCCATAGTGAAAACTATCTTATTGAGCCATCTATTATCTTGCTGAGCATGTTAGTACTAATAATCTAGTCACTTGCAATCTAATTTTAGGTTGCTTTGCAATATATATAGTGATTTTTTAATTAAATACTCTCATTCACTGTCTTAGGCTGCATTTTTGTGATCTCCCGTTCAATGAGTTATAAAGTTCTGATGGGAGAGGAATAGGTAGTAGTCATATTTTCTATCGATTAATATAAGATGAACTGAAACCTACTTCGATTATCTTATCTATTTTATTCGGTAATATCATTAGTAAACATTTAACGAATATAAATTCTAGACGGAACTATATTTTTAGATGGTGGATTGAGAGAATCTTTACCAAGTTACATCATGTTATAAATATGGCATCAATAAATCATTTATTAAGGAAAGTAAAGACTTCGAAAGTTTGAATAGGTGAATAACAGAACCGCTTCCTCATAGATAGGAATCAATCTCTTTTGATTGTAGTGGATAAAATTACCAATGATGTAGTGAAACCAAGGTCAATCTCCTTTTTATGTATACTATGCTCATCAGTTTGTCCCTCGATATTAAGTATATTTATAACAATGTCTTTCTGATCTGGATCAATGTGGAGCTTGAAGTCATTAAGATATCTGTAAATAACGGGATTTGAGGAAAATTCATCATTTATTGTCAATCAAGAGATAACTATATCTGGCACAAGGGTGATCTATAATTAATTTCCAATCCATAGGATTTATTTTTACGAGAATGTCCTATACACTTTTAATATCAAAAATTCGCATATGGAATCATATTTTAACATTTGTACTTAAAATTTCTTACTGTCTAATGGAGAAAATACACTTAGTTACCTTACTTAATTATTTAGTCGTTTTGCTTAACTGCTTACGTTCGTTAGTGATTAGTAACGAAATACATCACGTTTGTTAGATTATCTTTATTATTTCCTGACAGATGATAACCATATCTTGAGAATTAAAGACGTTATTACCGAAAATCAGGCGTAGTACACAGTACCTCAAACGCTACTATGGTGTATGCTACTTATATTGACAGATATATGTAGTATGTAACACCAATCAGATGTAGAATGCTTGTCAAGAGAGGATTGAGCTGAAGAGAACCGAAAAAGAAACAAAAAGTAATTGTAATAACAACAGAATTGAAAGAATCATGAAAGATTTAAAGGACAACTGATGGAAGATGTGCAAATTATGTATTTAATGTATGATTTTCATGGTTTGCTAAATGACTTTTTAATTTGCTTTAGTTTCCATACTTGAGTTGTTCGTTCACTACACTACTTGTCTATAAAAACCGAATTTTGTCCATCAAGTTTTTACTTTCTTTGAGATTATGATTTCTTATTGTTAATTGTAATCGGATAGCTTTTCACATCGAAAGCTGTTTAAAACAAAACAGTGCAGATTTAGAAAATTCTATTTGCTCAATCACCTTCACTTTAAAAAAACGGGATTATTTGTCAGTTAGTCAGTTAGTTACAATGTAGGACCAGGCACATATATGCATCAGTTCAAGTTGCCAAACCTCGCTAACACAACACGATGAACACCGAATTCATAGAAGTAGTAAATTCAATGGTAGTAATATATAAAAGAAAGATCATATATAAGGGAGAAAGAATTAGTTCGTAGGAAGAGAGTGTATACGCTGACGTCATTGTGATCGCTTCTGATCCATGTCACCAAGAGTCTCCAACCATTGGTTACGATAGTCGCGCGGACCACAACCAAGTAGTCTGCATCTACCAACATGCTTCAGACCATATGTTAATGAATTCAAGGTTTAGTTTGGTCACCCCTAACTTTCTTCCAACCGTCTCGGACACTATTCAGCGTTGCTCGTCGTGGTAATCGGCGTTCGGGCATACGCAACACGTGGCCTAACCATCTCAGTCAATGAAGATTCAAAACCTCATCAACTGGTGTATTATCATTCCCTTATACCCTCAGTCTAATCTCACTATTACTTACCCGGTGATCCCAGCAGATGCCAGAAATATTTCTAAGGCATCTGTAGTCAAATACTAATAATTTACGAGTATCTTCTACTCTTAATGGTCACGTTTATTTGTCAATAGTCGACTATAATTTTATCGACTCAATTGTATAAACTTTAAACACTTAGGTCAGTATTATTGTTGCTAAATATTGTCTAATCAGTAAACTGTTCATTTATCTGGAAATTCTACTGTTATGCGCAAAGTCGGATATTTTTTCTTCATAGATAACTGGTAAAAAGTTAGCTTAGTTAGACAATAGGAAATTGCTTAATCACATAGATCTATTTTCAAGACAATAAACAGAGCCGATTGTTTTATGTTTAATTCAATTGATTACTCAGGGTTAATGATATATGAATCAACATTTAGCCTTTTTATTGAAATATTTTCATTCAGTTTGCGAATAACTCTATAGATGTATCTTATTCTTCAGCTTCCATGAACGAATGATTATTTAATAACTATGTATATGAATGTAGTATGAAACAATCAACTTGTATCAAAGAACACTATGATATTTGTATACAGTAATGATTTCATTATACAATATTTCGTGTTTAATTTGAATTGCCTAGTCAATACTTTCGGTTGTGCCAATGAAATTCTTTCTGATTCGAATATTGGAGAGACTAATAGAGTAAAAATTGGAATTACTTGCTGACAAACTGAATTTGACTACTGATAGTTATATCAAAAACTCATACAAGTATTCAACTGAATACTTCACTATCGTGTAATTGAACTTTGTGAATATATATATACCCTATAATATTACTATTTTCGTTAAGGAAATAACATTCGATTGCATAGTTTAATGATGTAGAAAACGAATACAATGCCTTTTCCGGAGTATTGCAGTGATTACCTAGAAATGTGCTGTATAATAGTTTCAGAAATCAATAGTTTTTTTTTTATTTTTAAGAGTTTTTATTATTCTATTCTTGATACTTAAGACTGAATTTCATTCAGTAGCGAAAAAGCTATATCAATTAAATGCGTTCAGGTTAAAAAATATTACAAAGAAAAGTGATTAAAAATAAATCTTGAAAATCAGCAACAGGATAAAATAAATCTATATGAACAAACACTACACCGGTTGAACCTGTTGGTGAAGCTTTGACTACTCAGTAATGGATAACTTCCTGGTGTTTGAAGAGATTTGTACTGGGTTTGAGTCCAAGTGTGAATACGAATACTAAGATCCAGGTATATTAAGCTGAGAAATGCCAAACAAGACAGAATGTACGTCGTTGATTTAAGCTCTAGCTACAATCCAAACACACTACTCATATTTCAGTTAACTATACGTTATCTTTTTGTAATAGTATCATGGCTTTTGATGAAATACGAAATTGTTTCTTCCTTTCATATGTATCCCTTCCTTAATAAGATATCCCAAAACGTAGTACTTTCAAAATAGTTTACCGTCATGTAATGGTGTCATCATTAGAGAATGATTGATTTCTTCGATGAGTAATCCACTCGTAAAATTACCCACCAATATAAATTTGTTTGGATGTACGTTCGATCATAGAAGCATATAAGTTAATAAATACTGTAAAACAGATAATTATGTGTATTCACTCATAAACCTTATAACATGTTTCGCATTAACATTTCTGTCATAGTAGAAAATAAACATTTAGAAGTAGCGTGAGTGAATGAAACAACATAGAGAATCATTAATTCATGCCATCTGAAATGTTATTACATAGCAAAAAAATGTCTCCAACACCCGATCATTCGTTTATATTCAAATAGTTCTGCTAATTAGTAAGATATTAATAGTAATGGTGACAATTTTAGAACAACAACAAAACTTACCATATTACCTATAAAGTTATCCCATACAATTGAGATTAGAAAATCGACAACAATAAAAAAGCACTATGCCTACTTTTGGCGAGTCCCATACTAAGACGGTACAGCTATCTAATGATTACTAATTTTTATTAGTTATGTAGTTAAAATTAATCTGTGATTTAAAACTACAAACTTCAAAAGGTATCCTCAATCCCCTATGCTAAGAATGAACACTTGATGACATTATTGTTTTATTAAGTCGTACAACATATATTCATGATATTAGATAATTAAAAAGGTCAGTTAATTCATTTACATATTGATATTTTAAATTTATTATCTGAATACTCTGAATTAGTAGGTGAATACTTTACTCTGCGAAAAAGTGATTTGGCCAGGATGTAGTTCTCATCGGTGCTTCAGTTGCTTCTTGTTGTGGTTCATTACTACCATATTCGCCCTCTTGTTCTTCTTCATCACCTTTATAATGTTCATTGTATTTACGACGTTTTAACTCTTTTAATTTATTCATTGATTTGTCTGCTAAATTAACATGACCATAATTATGCGCTTCACCATCATCATAATTATTACTATCATATGAATCATAATCATCATCATCGTGGTTACCATGATTACCATAATTATCTGGTACAAATCCAGCTCCATCTTCCATATCATATTTACGCCCATGAATTGTTTTCAATGGAAAGTTTATAGCATCGTATGAATTTCTTTTAGAATGTTCTACAAGTCCATTATAATAATGATTATAATGTGTATAAATTGAATTCATTAAAGCAATATATATTATTATTCCTATTAAATAATACTTAGTGAATAGCATATTTTATTGTAAATGATAAAATAAGAGTGCTTCAATAGTATATATGGATATATATATATATATATGGTTATTCATTTATATGAACATGTATATTGTATAAATTATTACTTTCTTAGGTTGCGTATAAAATGTTAAGTGCAGGCTTAGAATAGTTAAATAAATCAATTATGTTTGATACCCTATTATTGTTATTCCGCACTTATTCAAAACATTGATGCGTACAAATTACAATTTGAAATAAACTATTATTTGAGTTCAACCGAGTTTGTTATGAGATAGTAACTCACTGAAGACAATGATGGATATGTTGCTTAATTTCGTGAGTTAATTGGAGTTAGATATGAACACCGTTGGATGCCGACCGGATCAGTGGTCTAGTGGTTAAGCGCTCACTCAAGAGACTGATAGGTCCTGGGTTGGAATCTCACGAGGCGGCATCGTGGATGTGCACTACTGAGGAGTCCTACAATAGGACGAAACGGCCGTCTAATGCTTCCAGGTTTTTCATAGTGAACTAGCTTGAATTTCAGCATGAAATTCATTCACCCATTTGGCTAAATAACGTTTTGGAATTTTAACTGATGTCATTTCGCGATGAAAACCCTAAATCTAATTCCTAACCCTTAACCATGCGCTGTAAATCATAATACTTATTCCTCATACTAGTTTATAACTGTCATTTAGCCCTAGTGAGTAGATGAACATTCTCACGGTTACTTTAGTGTCACTCAAAGGTCATTTCTAAATCATAGTCTCACCATTATTATTACCATTAGTATTAATATTGCTTTTAGAAAACATATATTGATATATATTGCTAAACTAACCGATCATTAGGGGTTTTGTGGATATTATAGTAAATTTTAATGGTTGAGATCATGAGTCAATTGAAGATAGACCACCGTCCAGTGCTTCCAGGTTTTCCATGGCGGTTTAGTTTCAATTGACTCATGACCTCAACCATTAAAAATAATCGATTATTATTTATTTAGTGTTAATTTTCAACTTATAAATTTATATACTGCTGTAAAGCCTTGACGAGGAACTAATTGAAAAAGGGAATATTCTCTTTTCCATTAAACGTTTATTTATCCTCATGATGCAAACTAGTATGACAATGATTATGTATGCGAATAAATTCATTTGTTTAAATGGTTTATTTTTATTAAAATCATGTTTGTACATCACGAAAGTCTCAGAATTTCTAAGTGAGTTTTGCATGCTGTATTATTATGGGACTGAATTTTTATAGAAATGAATGTAAACCTGTATCAAAATAACCTAACAGTAGTCTTAATGTGTCAAGTGGTTAAACATAACAGAAAATCAATCCTAGACCTAATTTTTTTGCTATTTGAGATTCTATGATAAAGTGTACTCGTTAGCTCCTGATGCTTCACTTTGGATTTGATTCTTATCATTCAGATTCATAGTATGAAACAAGTATCACTGAGCTATTCGGGACAATAGTAACATTCTATAAGATGGAAATTGATCACTAAGAAGTAACCAGAGTCATTTTTATCAAGTCCTTTTCAATGCTGATTGAACTTTATCAAAGTTTATGTAAAACTAAAAAAGTTGAATAAATTGTTTTAAATAAACATAATGTTCAAAAATAATTTTGAAATACCGATCAGAATTGTAATTACTTGGAGTTTATGTAACCAGCACAAAGATGAAATAATCGTTTCCTTTTTAACTCACAACTCAGATTTTAGACAAGTTTAATAAATATATTTTCAACAAATATGATGAGACTACCATTGTTAGTACACATCAATGTCTAGTTGTATGTATTTCTCACATAATCGCATAGAAATCACCTCCTATCTTATTATGGAAAGCATAATCTTTTGAGATTTCATCTGTAAAACCACCACAGAATGTATTAATCATATAAGTTTATCTATTGCTTTAAGAACACGTATATATTTAGAAAATCATCAAGCTGAAGCACGAGGCAACCCGTACCTTTGGATCCTGAACTGAAAAAGAAAAGAGGAAGACCCAAAAACATATTGCGCTGGGAACTGGAGGTAGACATTGAAAGAATGAATAGAAGTTGAAAACAGCTAGAAAGGAAAGCCAAGGACAGAGTTGGTTGAAGAATCCAGATTAGTGGACTATTCGCCTGCACGAATGGTAACACGCGTAACTAAGTATTAAAAACGTTTCTACAGTTCATCATCACAAAATAAACAAAGATGGATAGTGGCTAGCAGTGGAATCCAGGAGGCGCGTTTCGTCCTGTTTCGGACTCGTCAGCTGGATGTACCTGCATCTCAGAGTTGATGTTCACTCTGGGACTCGAACTCAGTACCGTTCGCTTCACACGCCATCGTCATTGCACAAGCAAGTGGCTATCAGGACTCAGTAGCTAAGTGGATAATGCGAGGGCGTATGAAGCGAACGGTACTGAGTTCGAGTCCCAGAGTGAACATCAACTCTGAGATGCAGGTACATCCAGCTGACGAGTCCGAAACAGGACGAAACGCGCCTCCTGGATTCCACTGCTAGCCACTATCCATCTTTGCTTCTAATGCTTGTAAATTAAGGTAATATCGAGGCATACGCACAGTATGCACATATGCCAATAACAGACTGATCAATTTCAGTCCTAAAACATCAATGGGAAGATTCAAGTAAAAACAATATCAAGTGCATCATCACAAAAGTTAAAAGTAACTACTTTGAATCGCTATATGCTCTCCTATTAATCTAAAAACGAAACTAATGCCGAGTTCATTACAAAAGTGTATTTGTTAGACAAATCATATTGGTGATAATTCATATAAGTAAATTTAGAACTCACTGGATATTAAGTCACAACTTTAAACTTGATGTTGAGTACCTTGTCTAAATTTACAACCCTTTGTAATCAAATAGTGTAGTATGTAATATCATCAGAGAAGAGCGTAAATTGAATATGTTGTAGCCTTTATTTCTACATTAATGGTTTTATTATTTAGAAACATTATTATGGTAAAATTATTTTAATAAATTGTGTTAAACTTCATCTATTCGCTAATGTTTAAAAGATGTAAAAAAATTGATTCCAATAAGGTTATTTACGAACCATTAATTAATACCTTACTCTTCTCCATGGAAGAGAAAGCTGTATACCTCTACTTAGAAGTTAGGTGATTACGAAAGCCTTTAGTTGTCTTTAAACTGTCCCTGAGTTTCTTTGTACAATAAGACGGTCAATGATAAATACCAGTCAAACTTAATTCCGTTTAACCCTTGTTGTAGTCTAATATTTTAGTCAAGCATACTCATAATCTGAACATAACGTATCTAACAACTTTCATAACTAATCCTTTAGTTTCTGCTATTATCCGGCGCTAAAAGTCAATTCTCTTCAGATGATTTGAATGAAATTAGAATTGTATCACTTTCGCACCATACAAGCTACTAGTTGACCTCAGACTTGATATAGAGCAGTTAAGAACTAAAAAGAACACTGGTCACAAGACGATTGAAAAATAAAGGTAATTGTTTTACTTAAACAAAAGGAAAATATTCAATTCTACATAAAAGAGATTTCGCTTCATATTTAATGAAAAGTAGATCGCGAATCAATTATCTAAACTGATCACGTTCATAATGTCCATCAATATCCTGGATTATACAAACATATGAGTGTACACATAAAGCGTTCAAACAATTTTAACACTTTAATATGATAGTATCTGACACTTAAAATACTAAGAATTTATTGATTATGGGATTATTACATGCTAACTTGGAATTCCCAAGGGAAATAGAAAAGAGGAAAACCAGAGAACATACGGCGCTGGGAATTGGAAGCATACATCAAAATAATGGGTAACAACTGGAAAGAATTGCCAAGAACAGAATGCTGGTGAACGGCCTATGCTCCTCTACGAGGGGTAAGAGGCGTAAGTAAGTGAATAATTCTTGTCATTAATTACAATATTATCATATAACTGGATCGTACATAATTTTGTGCAATGCTAAGCGGTATTGGAGACAGTTGGAAGAAAGTTAGGGTCGGCCAAACCAAAACGTCGTATCAGTGCTTGAAGACATTAACTTCTAGTCTGAGTCATGTTGGTAAATGCAGACTACTTGGTTGGGGTCTGCGTGACTATCGTAACCAATGGTTGGAGACTCTTGGTTACATGGCTCAGAATCGACCACAATGGCGTCGGTGTATACACTCTCTGTCTTCCCTTAAACTTTCAGATTTCAATTGCTTCATATCTTTCTTTCTACCAACTAATTCTTTCTTCCTGTACTATATCCTTATTGCAATCTTTCTTTTATATATTACCACCACTGAATTAACTACTTCTATGAATTTGGTGTCCATCTTGTTATGATCATGAGGTATGGCAACTTGAACCGATGCATATATGTGTCTGGGTTTACGTTGTAGCTGACTGACTGACTTGTACATCTAAATGTTAAGATATGATTTTAAGTTTACCTATCTTATTTATAGAACAGTCATCAAACTTTCTTTGTGTCCGTGTAATTTGATTTGATGAACACATAATGCTTTAATGTATTCTAGTGTCCTTGATTTTCCTTCACTAAAAATAAGATTTTATTACTTATATCCATGATTTCTAAACATCATTTGAGAAACTTACTTTTTAATGAAATATCAATGAAAACTCCTGATATAACGGGAAGAAGAGTCAATTTTCGATTGATTTACTCATTATGAGTTTTGGTTCAATATGACATCCGTTTTGATTCAACGTGAGGATCATTCAGTGTAGTATTTGATTTGTTTTCCCAGTATGATATTTTCTTTTGTATAATATACGATATTCTTGTATTTAATTGACATGAATTGTTCTCAGTAAGTGATTTGTTATAACTGAGTATGTGATTTAATCCTAATTATTAATCAAAATGGGTGTACAATTAATATATAAATGAGTGTATTCTTGGCTAGAGTCGTCATGTTTTGGGGGTTAATAAATCCTCACTTACACCAGTCTTTGTGTTCTTACTTTCGCGTCCCTCGTTTCGGGTATAAGTGATAAGCATTTCCGACACAACAGTCAACAACGATCAGATATAGCACGTAGCATTCTATCAACAAGATATATCAACTCCTTGGTATTTTATGCATAT